CCCCTTTGCTATCATGATCCAATCTTCAGTCTCTGCAATATGCTACCCGTTTTTCCGCAAATTCATCCACTTTGATTGTTGAAGATTACGAAAATGAGAGGAAAGAAAAAGGAGCAGTTTTTCTCAGCTCAGAGGAATAGCAAAGTCTGAAGCCTGCTGAGCTTATAATTAAAATGCGGAAAAACCATGACAAAGCTCAAAAGATGCGAGAATGTGATACAGAGAGCATAAAAATGCTGAGCACCAGGCTTCAGGCAAAGCACTGTTTTGAATTAAAAATAAATGAGAAAATTGCCTATAGAGAAGGGAATGCAGGGGGAGAGGCAGCCATGGAAGAGGAAGAGTGGAGAGTGATTGTTCCTATGCTGCCTTCAGAGAAATCTTCTTCCTCCGCCAAAGGACTGCAGGCTGCCCAAAGAGGTGTTGAAGTCACTGTCCCTGGAGGTGTTGAAGAAATATGTGGCACTGAGGGACACGGCTAGTGGGCATGGTGTGGATGGGCTGATGGTTGGACTAGATGATCTTAATGGTCTTTTCCAACATTAATGATTCTATGATTCTATGACTCTAAGCTACAGCAAGTCAGTGATTGCATGAACCAACTGATGATGCTAGCCCTCTGATATGACTCTTCTTTTGCTCCCAGGTAGTAAGCCTGGAACCAGACCCAAACATGCTGAAGAGCGACAAATGCCTGGTTATGCTCTTGCCCCCACTGCTGGCATGTGATGGATGCCTGCTCTGATCCCCCTGCTCCAAGCTGAGGAGCCAGCAAGAATCTGGGGGCAGGAGTCATCCCTGCAGATCAGCAGATCTGCCCCTCACACTTCCTCCCAATGAACAGTCCCCTTGTTGATTTAAAAAGCATACTTGCCAAGCTTTACACCTATTATTTTCATATACAACACTGATTTATTCTTCCTGCTAAAACAGTCAGGAAATAAATCAGTAACATCGAAGAATACTGCCTCAGATGGTAAAATTCATTGCATTGCACAACTGTTTGCTCCTTGGTTTATACCACAGAGAACTGCGCTAAATGGTAATGAACAGCCCTAATCGTATTACATCTTCCCACTCTCTGCCAGCAGTGTCAGAAGCTTAATCTTCAGGAGGTCCTGTTGGGTCTTGGGGCCCTGCTGTTGGCTTGAAAAACATCCTGCAAGGACAAATGCAAAACCTTTAACTACATTAGGACAGCAGGGCTGGAGAATGCCAGAAGTCCACCTCATCCCATATCCTGGCTCAAACCTGCACGGATGCTTGAGGAAAAAATCTAAGAACAGAGTAAATACAGAGTGATTTTTCCCCACAGTGTGCAGCAGCATTTCCTGCCATCTTCCAGTTATCCATAGTGCTGGGACTTCCTAAAGAAAAGGCTGTATTTTTGTACCTAACAGCCATCATTGGGGCTGTTTATTTCCTCATGCATTCATCTAATTGGGCTTTTAATCTGCTTGCGCCTAATGTAGGTAAAAGTAGTTTCTATCACTCCACATTGCCTGGGAGCCTCTTCACCAGTTCTTCCACTTTTACGATGTCTTACTCATTCCTAAACAGCTATGTTCCCCCTCTCCCCATCCTGCTGCATGACAGGGCAGCAACTGAAGGCAGGAGGAGCTGACAGAGGTCTCTTCTGCACAAACATGTGAGCACGTGGTGCTTCATTGCGTGGGCACTCACATGCTGAAGTGATGTACAGTGCTTAAGTGTAATGCATATGACAATATTGGGTCAGACTCACGTGGCCACACCAGGCCACCTCCTGCAGCAGTCTCTGCCTCTCTGCAGTCAGTGACTGATGTCTAGGAAGGAAATAAAAAAGCAAAGAGCGCAGTCAGGTTTCCTCAGAGATCCTCTCTCCCAGCTGGATCTGAAGGACCATTCGTCACATCCCAGCTTTACTTGACCCTCAGTCATACACTAGAGGTGTCCAATCCACAAAATACATGGGAAAAAAAAAAGAGGTAAAAGTATATTTCCATGCAAGGATAATTTTTTTTTGAGAGCATTTGATATGAAAAAGAAAAAAACCAAAAATCCTCCATTGGGAACCTCCATCCATTATGAAGCAGCAGCGATTTCAGTGTTTCTGGAAAACCTCTCATACAGCAGGCATACTACAACACACTCTTATCAGCCACAGCTGCCACCTCATCCTGTAGCTCACATCGGGCAACAGAGCCTTTTGATCACAGCCATACATGCACAACATCACTCAGGCATCAAGGATGACCTGAGCTGGCTTAGCCTTTTCTGGACCCAGGAATAGGTAAGCCACCAGGCTGCGCAGCAGGGAGAAACACACCACAGATCTTTTGCACAGGGACTTAGCTATGGGCACACAGTGGGATACAGCATGCGATGGAAAAGGCTCCAAGAGGAGGGAACCAGCTCCGCCCTTCCAAAATATCCTCTGGCACCACCAGTGCAACAGCAGCAGGAAAGGTCATGCTGGTCTGGGTGTTCCCAGTGGAGCCATGCTGTCCCTGCTGCACACCTCACTTTCATGGCGCAGATGCAAGAAGCCCACATGCATCCCCTCTCCTCCCCCCAGGGAGCAGAGACAGACACATACATGGATCAGCATTTATTTCCAAATACCTCATTTATATCATTCTCACATGAAATATTTCTTTCAGAATATAGCCTACATTTAGAAGAGGTTTTTCTCATAAGGCACATCAGATTAGACTACATAGAAACATCTTCCCTCCCCCCCCCCCCCAGTTGCGCTTGTAAAATACTGGTGATTTTAAAAGTAATAATCCTAAAACCTAGACCCTGTGCAGCCCCTTGTAGAGCAGTATTCATAAACTTATTAGACCTCAGTTTACGTACACCTAGTAAAAGGCTATAACAAGTTGTATATACATCACATTTTCAGAAACAGTCACAGCTGGCTACATTTAAAAGTAATGCTACTCCAGACTATGAAACAGGCTGCTTATAAAATATAACCTACAGCTTCCAGTATGGTGTGATACAAAGCAGTATGACCTTGTAGAAGAAACTATGTTATTTTTGCAAGTGAGAGTTGCTCAGACTCTAGCCTGTCTCCTTCCAAACTCTGCATTTCTGATCAGCTGAGACCATTATACAGCGAAGCAAAGCACCCAGGAGAAACCTGGCTTTAAAATTTGCTCCAAGATGACATTATGACTGCATATCTGAAATCCTGTCACTGCATTAGAATAAGAAATATAAAGGCTCAAATGTTAACTTCATGACCAGTAAACATAAAAGCATTATGAACCAGATGCATCCAAGGTCAATGCATCCAGCTTCCGTGCTATGGAAACTGCTTTTCCAGGCTGTTCCAGTGCAGAAGCCAACACATTCTTCTTTACATAGGAACTGATTCAATATTTCCATTCCATTTTCAAGTTTTCAGCCATGGAACGTTACCCACTTCATACTCATTTTGCTGTAGTGGAGGAAAAAATATTGCCTGTGGAGTTTGTGCCAATAAAACCTAGAATCCATTTATGTAGTGTCATTTCTTTAGTGGGCTAGGAGGTAAACCATGGTCAGCTTTATCAGTTCAAATGGCTTCCACAATTCTTCTCTATATCAGGCACCGATTCATTTATGATGAAAAAGGGTTCTGGCTTCCTGCAACTGCAGTTTAGTTTAAGACTATGAAAAAGGTCACTTTAAGGCTATGGCCAAAGGGAAAACGGAAAAAAAAAAATAAATAGAGAGAGAGAGAGAGAGAGAGAGAGAGAGAGAGAGAGAGAGAGAGAATCTGATATTAAAAGACATAGGAAAAAAAAAAAAAAAAAAATTGGTTGGGGGCCATAAAAAGGCAGACAGACAAAAAGACAGACTAAATGCCCTCTGCAGAAAAAGTTAAAATACCATTCTTGCAGAGAGTCACGTTACTCTTCCAGTCTCTCAAACCCACAGGGACTGAAATTAGGCTTAGCCCAGTAGGAATTGGATTTAGTCAGAGGGTGGGTCACACACAGCTCTGCATTACCTTGATCATTCAGCTATATTTTAGGGACATTTAACCTGTTGGACTGATCTGGGAAAACACTGTCAGCTGCATTTTCAGAGTGGCCTCAGCCCGTTTTCCCAGCATGAGTTTGGACAAGATTCAACCATAAGCAACTGTTGCTTTTAGGAAGAAAACATTAACTTGGTCAAAAACAGCATGATAAAGAGGACACAGCAGCCTCAGTTGCTGGAGTCCAGTCTGTTATCACCTTTATCTGCCTGCTTTGTTGTTTGTTCAGCAGCCTGAAAGGTAAGGAGGGGCATTCTGAAACTCTTGGCTGTAAAAACAGACGCAATTTGCATGGTGCTGCACAGATATTTGTTACATCTCTCTAAAAAAAAAAAAATTAAAAAAAAAATTAAAAAAAAAAAAAAAAAACAACCAACCCAACAGCATTTACATTCCTTTCTGTTGAAATAGACCAACTGTCATCACGTCCACACAAAGAGAGAGAAACCCACTGCCACCCAAAGTGGCGAGCTAAGGCTCAGTAACACTCCTTGGGCTTCCTTGTGATGCCCTCAGCATGAAGGGAAAAGGACAAAAATGACCCTCAAGTCAGGAGGTGACAAATGAGATGTCAGCGCTGTAACATATCAGGTTCCCTCACAGCATGCTGAAGTTATACACGTGACCTTTCCAACCACGGCATTTGCGTATAGATTACACCTCTTACATACCCTTTTTAAAGCGATCCCTAAGACTGTTGGTTTGGGAAGACATGGAGAAAAGAGCAGGAGTGGGTTTTTTAAAGCTAGAAAGGTCCGTTAGGAGGCACAGTGTTATTTTCCCTTGAACCGTCCGTGTACACAGCTCTACATTTCCACAGTCCTCCTGCGCAGCCCTTGCAGCAAAAGGCTCCCATCTGTTCCTCCCGATCCGGTACACATGGTAAGACAAGAAGTCAAATCCTTTGGACAAATCCTTATAACTTCACAGATACATGGTGCACTTCTTCCGCAATGAAAGATATTAGTCACGAAACTCAACGCCAGACTTGATTTATAGCCATGATTTTAACTACAAATCCTTCTGCCACCCTCTTGAGGGCAACGGAGATACCAAGTAGCAACATATACACATACATACAGACCTAAGCTATACACTCCAGACAACACAGAATGAGATTTCAGCTAATATAGCTTCTATTTGATTTCCTCAGAGCAGCACTCGGGTCCTCACAACTCCTATACAAAACAGCAGTATTTTTTCCACCAGGATTTAGAGAGGTTTTTCATCTTGTCTGGAGTCCTACACTTGGATTTCTTTGGCTGCTGCTGGGTATCTGAGTACTGAATTCCAGCCACGATGGCTGCATCAAAGACCTCCTTGAGGTTTTTCTGAGTCAAAGCTGAGCACTCGATGTAGGACGCGGCTTTAATTTCCTCGGCACAGAGCTTTGCGGCCTCCTCTGGGACCGGCTTCTCCTTGCACTTGTCCAGCTCGATGAGCACCTTGACATCCTCCCGGAGGTCCGACTGCGTCCCCACCAGGATGATGGGCGCCTTGGGGCAGTGGCATCGGATTTCAGGGACCCACTTCTCGCTGACGTTCTGGAAGGACGAGGGGCTGACAACACTGAAGCACAGCAGGAAGATGTCTGTGTTGGTGTAGCACAGAGGCCTCAGCTTGTCGAACTCATCCTGGACAGAACGACACTGTGTTAGCACATGACAAACAGCGCTGCGTAGGCTGCAAAACACCCCCAGCTTCAACCCCTGTCCTCCTGGGATACCACAGCACCAGAAACAGGGACGAGGTGGGGCAGCAGGTCCATGTGCAGACCCAAGGCCTGACCATGCCCAGCCACGAGCCCCCACCCGGCTGAGCTCTTCTAACGCTGCAGCTTCAAATGCTCACGTATTTCCTTTGCTACTTGCACATCAGCCCTCTGCCCTATATCTGCCCAAAAAAAGACCAGCAAAGCCACAGAGAGCAATGAAGCTAAAAAGAAAGGTATGGGAGGGAAAAGGTACGCGGGCCTCAAAGGTACCGTCCTGCCTGCAGACACAGGCGAGAGCACAGCAGACAAGTGGCAGCAAGCACACTCTGGCCGGAAACATTTTGAAACCAGTGCTACTTAACAACATCCTACAGGAGAGGCAATAATTTCCCTGCCTTTGTAACCGGGGATTTAAATCCAATGGCAGCAACAGCGAATCACAATGCACAGGCTTAACATGCCAATGGCATGGAATAAGAGCTTTACCTTTCCCTCCCACCCATGCCACATCAAACAAACTGCAGAGAGGCCTCCCTGGTGCTATCTTTTTTTTCTCCCTCCTCCTTTCCTCTTTTTGTTAGAGGAAACTCCAACAAAGCAAGGCCCTTCTGCAGCTTCAGGAGGTAGCGGAAAGAAAGCCGAGCACCTGAAGGTAATAAAGGAGCAAAGAATGAAGCAAGAAGCAAGGGTTAACTAACTGCACACAGCCCTTTATGCTGACAGCAGGATGAAAGCAGGGTAACACCAGCAGCCTGAGCAGGTAGGATTTGCCTCTATGAAGTGACATTTTAATTAAAATGGACATGTTCTCAAAAGCTCTGAATTTAAAGTGCAGAGAATAAACGCAGCTGAAGACATCTCTCCAACACCAGCATTTTGCTGCTGAATTGCAAGTCGTGTGTTAATTTTCAAGATGGGAAATTTTGATTTAAAGCCTGTGAGGGCAAAGGATATGCAGCTTAAAGCCCACTGGAAGCCTCAGAAGTCTCGTTCCACTTGAATGAATTTCTTCCAGCAGCAACTCCAAGAGAGACAGCAATTTATAAAACATGAGTCAAGAAAGCAAGCTTCATTAGCTCTGCTGATTCCCAGATTAAGGCTCACAGGAGAGCAGGCTCTCACCATTTGACTGGAGGAGCCCCGTGCTCACTGAGCTGCAGCACTGAAGGACAGGGCCATTTGCAGCAAGGAATCTCGCTGCCTAACTGCCTCTTCTTACAACGTGAGAAACCTCAGCAGCACTCGATTCAATGGGCTTGAAAGTCAAACCTAGATCTTAAGGGTCTCTGCTCAGATGGGACGGCGCCCTTCATGTTCCAAGTGCACTCCTGTGGATTCAATGGCAGGTACACAAACTGCAGGGCTCTGCACCTCTTCAGGCTGCTGACACTGAAATAGCTGGAATTTCACCCTGACTGGAGTGCTCTTTCAGCTGCAGATTCCAGCAACAATCTCACCCAGCCAGGCGTATTTTATTCAGGATGACTAATGCTGTAGACAACCTCTCCATTTGTAATGAAGCAACTCCCCCTGTTCCAGGGCACTTGGACAGCCAAACACCTGAACCACTCACTCTGCAGCAGTGCAGGTGAGCAGACTGACTGGCACCACCTGGCCTGGGCACTACATCCACAGGCTGTCACCACACAGGTGGGGTCATCTGCATGCTCTGCCTATGAGCACACACAGAATTCCACCCTGGCACAAGACCAGGGGACACCTGATGCTATTACCTGCAGAAGGCAGGTAATAACCTGCTTGCAGGCTTTCAGGTTGGGTTTGTAGGGCAGATGGAAGACCTATACTGCTGCCAAGGCTGAGTAGCCCTCCAAAGTCCTTTCTTAAGTGGGGCACCTGCTTGCAGAGCACTTAACTAGGTTTGTGTGCTAAGGCCTCTGAGATTTATCCGTGTGGCTATGGGGAAGCCACAGACCTGGATCCACAAAGCAGTTAATGAATCCAGCTCCAATCCCTTTCAAAAACAAGTTAAGCAGCAAAAAACCTCAAGCGACCTGGGCTCAAACAGTACTGCATGTGTTTATGACACACACAAGCCAAGAACATGCAGAAAACACAAGAGATGGGTGCTCTGGTCAGGCAAATGAGGAGCTGGAAGTAGCAGGAGTTTGTCAGCTTGGCAGAGGCAGCACTTGTTAGTGGCTGGGAATTGAAAGTGTGAAGTCTCCACAGATGCCACCAAATGGTATTTTTTTCTCCCTCAAGTCCCTTTAACAGCACAGTTTCCACCTCTCTATACCTACAGCTACGAATGTTTTACATGCCTGTGTCTCAAACACAGTAATTCTCATTTCCGTGGTTATTTAACTAAAAAATGAAGCCAGTGACAACTGCTCTCAGCAGATACCAGGTGGCCCTCCAGATTCCGGGGTCACCACAGGGACTGCTTTGCGTGACCTCTCCTCCTGGGACCTCCCCCCCCTGCTTGTCACTGGGGTTGGCGGCTTCACTGACCTGCCCAGCCGTGTCACAGAGCTGCAGTCGCACCGGCTTGCCATCCACAGACACCACGGCTAGTGGGGAAAGGAGGGGAAAAAAAGCGTGGTGAGTTCAACTTTGCACATTTTCCATTAGCAAAAAATAAAAATTAAAAAAAAAAAAAAAAAAAAGAGTTAAGAAGGAAAGAAGAGATACGGTCTCCCTGTCCTTACAGCCCTTCTCTTTGCTTAGGCTGGATGCAGCTTAGCAGGGCTGGAGCTGGGTCTAGAACCAGCAATCGGGCACGCAGCCTGGGGACTCTCCGCTTCGTTTCCCCGCGAGCGGCACGGCACAGACCGCCGCGCTGTGCCCTCCCCTGCTGTAGGAGCGTCACTCGACCATCCTCTTACGCGTTCCCAAGCACAGAGAGCCCCCGCCGAGCCGAAGGCACGCGGAGCAGAGCCTCACCCTCCGCAGCCACCACTCGAGATGAAATTTTAGCCCTGCCAGCTCCCGACGCAAGCCGCCCCGCTCGAGCGCGCCGGCCGCGGGCACCCCGGGACCGACCCCCTCCACCCCCCTGCCCCCTGCTCGCTGCCGTCCCCCGGTCCCCGCTTACCGGAGAAGTTGTCGAAGGCAGTGGGGATGTACTCAGTGGGGTACCCGTTGGTGGTGTAGCTCACCACCAGACTGGTTTTCCCCACGGCGCCGTCTCCCACCAGCACACACTTGATGCTGCGCCGGGGCTCGGCTCCTGCACCCGCCCCGTTCCCCGCTGCGGCCCCGGCCCCGCTCCCCGCCGCCCGGCAGCGGCCGCCCAGCGCCGCCCCCAGTGCCGCCGCCGCCCGCCCGC